TTTTTTTTTTTGAGAAGATACTATGTAGGTTAGGAAAAGCTTAATAGACCCTGGGCATTATTCTAATCAGAAGATGTGGATTCATTCTCACATGAATGCTATTAGGAAGGTAATTTTTTTCCACTTTATAGATAAAGTATAGAGAGATTAAATAACTTATCAAACAGTCTCACAAAATGAATAAATGTGAAGTTGGAGAAACAGTCTCTCTACCATCTGGACTTTTAAAATTGTTTTATTCTGTGAGACACATTTAAAAATATGTACTAAAAAATCTAAAACACACACTTCAATAATATTAGTTAGAAACATTTTAAAATTTTTTTAAGTTTTCATATTGGCAGGGCATATATTAATATTAAAATAATGCAGAGATTAGCAGGGCCCCTGCGAAGGGGTAACACACAAATTTTTGAAGAATTCCATATTTTTATGAATATACAATGGTGAATCTCATTATTATAGATATCCCAAACACATTAATTTTTAAGATAATCATAGTTATAAACAGCAGAAAGATCAGTAGGGAGAAGAAAACAGGAGAAGGTAGAAAGGGAGAGAAAAGGGATATACTGAGTACTGAATTAGAGAAAATTATATTCCATGTTTACATGACTATGTCAAAATGAATCCTAATGCTATATATAACTAAAAATAGCCAGTAAATTTTTAATTAAAAAAATAATCAGAATAATCTGCTAATGCTTGTACCAACAATGTTTAGAAACACTAATGTTTAGCAATTTAGATGTGATAATTTTGTTAATAAAATAAGTTTGTTTTCTTCTGTAAAAATAAAATGTTGGTCATCAGCAAGGTTCAGTGAAGATATTAAAATATAGCTCTAATATTCAATGATCATCTAGAGTAATCCATGTCATGGAGGTAGAAAGGACTAAATAATTTTTATATCCTCTTCTGAATATGACACATCATGATTCTGCTATCCTTCAGTACTTGCTTAAAATATCTTCCTAAAAAAGAATATTCCCTCAGTTTAAATGAGCAAGTGCTGTGAACAAATAACCAATGATAAGATCCATTTACTAAAGGTATTTTCACAGGCATATTCCATTAACAACCAACTAGAAATTTGCACCTATGAAAAAATTGTTCTCAGAAAAGGTGTTTAAGACTGGTAGATCTCATCAGTAAATTACCAGATATTATACAAGGCAAAGGTTGGCAAGAAAAGATTGGATATAAAACTAGTGATAGATATATCTTAGTTTAGCCAACTGGTCCATCTTGCATTCTTTTTGCAATTTGATCATTTTAAAAATGCTGATAGCCAACCTTCTTAAAGGAGTTTAAACATGTCTGTCTGACTCTTAAACTTAACAGGCATGTGAAACCCATCCATCATGCACAAGAAACTTTGTTTTGCTTTTTAATTTCTGGAAGGATCTCTTATTTTTTGTCAAATCAACAAAATTGTTTTCCCTAAGCTCCTAGGCAAACTCGTTTCTATGAAATACAGATTTAATACCTGGACTTTACATGTCATATCACTGAAAATTTCAATTCTCCTAGTGTGGGGGAGAATGCTCCTGGAGGGATCCTTATGCTTAGTAATGATACAGTGGCAGTGCTACCAATGTCACTAGTTGCTTGGGGAAAATACAACCATAATAGCAAAATCCTGTTACCTTCTAGTTTCATTAAAAGTCTTGGTGTCACTGCTTGACACCAAGCAGTATTGGTGTCACTGCTCTTGGATTCAAAACTTCAACCTTGTTTTTATTAGCTGTGTTATCAACGTGACCAAAATACCAAACAGGAACTACTTAGAGGAGGGGAAGTTAATGTGGTGCTCATAGTTTCAGAAGCCTCAGCCCAAAGTGATGCAGCACACAAAGAGGAGGGGCTCAGCTGAGGAAAGCTGCTCAGCTTTTGGCAGGGTTGGCAAGCAGAGGAGGGGAGGACAGGGAAGTTGAACCCTTTCAGGGTATGCCTCCAATCACCTATCTCCTACAGCCATGTCCAGCCTGCCCACAGTTACCAGTCTGTCCATTCAAATTAAGATATACTAATGAGGTTATAGCTCTTATAATCTAATCATTTCATCTCTCAATATTTTTGCATTAAGAGAAGGTTTGGGGGGATACCTCAACTCCATAATAAGCCTATATATAGGCTTGAGTTCATTACTATGACTACCCCACAGACTCAGAAATGTTTTTTTTTCTTTTTAAAATATATTTATTTTCTAGTTGCAATTGGATACAATACCTTTATTTTATTTATTTATTTTTTATGTGGTGCTGAGGATCAAACCCAGGGCCTCACATGTCTTAGGCGAATGCTCTACCACTGAGCCACAACCTCAGCCCTCAGAAAATTTTTTAATATGTACGCTGAATAATCTGATTTTGTTTCTGATGAATTTGTATATTACATGTGTGCACCCACAATTTGTGCTTATTTGATTTGCTTCCTTTTCATTAACTTAATATTTCAATATGAACAAATAGAAAATAATGGGGAAAGGTATTCTTGTACTTAAATTGTGACTCATTGCTACTATGGACAATTGACTGATTAATTTTGAAACTGAGAGTCTTACAGATTAATAGTAATCAATGGCAATATTTATGGAATAACTTCCTTGCCTCTTTTTTTTTGTGGCGGTACCTCAATGTCAAGAAAAATATTGCTGAGAGACATATTGTATGATCTCAGACTTTACATAAATTGAGGAGAGAAAAGGACATATAATTTGAAAATTCTTTTAAAGTGATATTTACATATTAAATAACAAGTTCCTTTATTTTCAGATTCTGTAGATAAATGCCTAAATATAAAAGAGAATGCTTCTAATTCTTAACATTTTAAGAGTTCTCAGCATTTGTTAGGTGCTATGTAAGTTTACTTATTGAAAACAGCATATTTTAAATAAAAGCTTACAAGGACAGTGTGGTGCTGGTATGCTAGATTAGCCATCTCAAGTGCCTTTACCAATTGGGTTAATTTTTCGACCACATAAAAAAGGCACTGAGGAAGAAATTCCACTTATCCTTTTTTACCTGTGTCAGTTAACTTCTTTCAATATTCCTGAAATTGAAGCATCCAAGCTCCTTAAAGCTGGTCACTGGGGATGTGATTAAATATAATCTCCCCTGACTAGATACCAAATAAGAAATTTATTGAGCCAGCAACTTCAATCTGAAATTTCTGCTGCCTCTGATAACCCAGAATTGCCTAAAATTCACAAATCTTCTTTGGAAGATTTCTGACCCCACCACCATGAGTCTGCCCCTTCTCCCACTGACAATGCCTGCTTTGTACCTACATTTGTCCAAATCCTATACTTTCCTAGCCCAGTTCATAAGATCAAAGTTGGGCAACTAATTCTGGGGCTATCCATCAATAAGAAGCCAAAATCTTGTCTAATAGAATCTTGCATAATCAGCATCCACTTTGGGAAGGTGTAATTCAGAAACTGAGAGACTATTGTCAAGAGAGCTGTGCAGCTGAGTTGAAAAGTTGTATAGTACTGTTACCAGAAATACGAAAATTATGGCACTGGAAAGAGTCAAGTGGTGCTTAGAAGATGTTAGAAGAGCAAGATTTATTCAGCACTGACTCAGCAGAGTCTTCTCCAAAAGCATCACCTTTTCTTCTTTTATGAAGTACAAACTTCCAGGTTTCAAGATTTTCTCATACAGGTGGCCTTGATTTTCTCTGCCTTTCTCTAGGTAGCGCTGGTTCCTGCCACAGCTACTGAGAAAATAGGATTACAGAAGCAGAAACTAGCAGGTTGCAGCTAATAACAGATATAGAAAGAAATGTTTTAGGAAGGGGTTGCTCCTTCAGTATCCCAGAGCTGAGGAAGCCCCTTTCAGCAATCTGCAGAGGAGGCTTCTCTGCAAGAAGGAATGTGTGGAACAGGCTTGGCACATCTCCATTCACTAAATATATTTAGATTAGTGTTCATTCATGATATAAGTCAACAAATGTGATTGAATTCCCCTCATTGACACTATTATGCTAATCCATAAAGAAGAGTTGGCATTGAGATGCAAGTCTCTAATTATCCCAGAAACCAAACCAAGAATATCACCATTTTTTTTGCACATACGATCTACAGGACAGATGACTTTTGAGGGGGAAAAATGCAAAAGATTCATATAATAGAACAAGATAAGGTCCTTTCCTTGTACCACTATTTCTATGGTAGAAAGACCACCTTACTGACTTACTGATGATGAAGAGCCACACCTGAATTCAAAGTGGATGTAAAAGCAAAATCTATCTGTATTTTCTGCCCTGATCATCATTTCTATTTAAACAGGCTTCTCTTCTAAAAGCATAAATGTCAGGCATATTTATTTACATCAGTCCCATAGGTATTAGAAAGAATTTAGAAATCCTAATAAATGTGGACTTTTTAGCCAGTGTTACCAATGACATAAAAGAAACAAGAAACAGCAAAGAAATAACTACACATAACAAGTCACCAGGTATATCTTCCCTCCTCAGCTTATGACAAACCTGAACTTTATATTATGGTGATAGTAATAGATTAATTTGAGTTGAGGCAACTGTTATGTATATTGAATCTGGAGTCAGCACTAGATCCTGCTTCTAGTTCTGTCATTGAGAAGGTATTTCTCTAGAAAACTTGATAAACCTCACAATCTTTATGTTGTTTTTCTTTTTTAAAATATCTTTATTTTGTTTATTTTTCTTTATTTTTTATGTGGTGCTGAGGATTGAACCCAGGGCCTCACATGTATAAGACAAGCACTCTGCCACTAAGCTACAACCCCAGCTCCTCTATTTTATTTTTCTTAAAGAGAAAATGGCTGACAGGATTGCTCCAAGAAGAATATTTTTGACTGTATTAAGTATACAAAAGTGGTAGTGATTAATACAATCACCACTTCTAATAACTATTCCTCTGCTTGAATATGAAGTTTCTGAGGATGAAAAACAAGCCTTTTATTTTTTTTGGTCTTTTCAGAATATCACACAATGTCTGGAACTTAGTAAAAACTGCATAATTACTTGTTACTTTTAATAGAATTGCACCAGACAAAACTAGGACTATATCAGTGAAGTGGGAGTAATAAGCCAGCTGGAAGAGGTTTATCACACACACTATGTATGTTGGTAGAATACCAGCCACACACAAGGAGCAGCCGGCAGAAACTGGAAATGTATACAGACACATAGGACATGCTGCTAAGAGGAAACCATTCACAGAAAATGGGAAATGATTAACTCTAAAGACCAGAAAGGGAAGAGTAGGTAAGTGGATTTTAACAGTTTGGGACAGCCTTGGTCTGATAGCTGTCTGCATGGAACATACAGGCAAATCATGACAGCAACTGGGAAATTTAGAAAATTTAGTTTTAGCTAAAATTAGAAGCTAGCTAAACTAAGTTAAATTTTAGCTAAATTTAGAAGCTAGCCTGAAGTTGCCAGTC